TAAGGTTAGAAGTATGGGTGCCTAATATGGACCCTTAAGCCTTTCTAGGGTCCCTTAAGGGTACATATAGGGTATATGGTAGGTTTCTAAGGATCCCAAGCTTAAGGGCCATACTAGGGGCCCATGGTTTCAACCTTGAAAACATAAACCCTGAACCCTCCACTCCTTAAGGGCGATGTTTCTGAGCAGCGTTAGACAAGCAAGAATTTCCGTTTGAGAGCCCAAAGGATGGAACATAGTGTTTAGGGTTTAGGGTTTAGGGTTAACTTGCAATGCTTCCTTGCAGGTCTCGTTTAGGTGTTGTAGTTAAGGGGGGTATGATTTAGGGTTCGGGGTCTAGTACGGTTGATCGTTTAAAGGAGTATACCATACTTCCCATTCCCATGGCTTACTTGGAGGTTCATGGGTAGTTATAAGTGGGGTTATAAGTCCCCTAATATGGGTTATAATTATAGTTGCCCTACTTATAACCCTACTTATAACTACCCATGAACCTCCAAGTAGGGCCTTTAAGGTAACGCAGGATTTATATCATCAACCGCAAAATTCCCGCTCATGCCTTTGAAGTGAAGTATGGGGAATCCCAGCACTCATGATCCTAAATCCATGGTCCAACTTTCTGGTGTTCACCTTAAACCCTAAGTTCCTAAACCTAAACCCTAAATTCCTAAACCCTAAACCTTAAATTCCTAAACCCTAAACCCTAAACCCCTAAACCCCTAGACCCTAAACCCTAAACCTTAAATTCCTAAACCCTAAGCCCCTAAACCCCTAAACCCCGAAACCCATAGGTTTCTAGCCTTTTGAGGTTTTGGACCTTCCCAGAGTCATGTGGGTTTGAGGGTTTTGGGGTACAGGGGTTGAGGGTTTCGGGATTAGGGTTTAGGGTTAGGGATTAGGGTGTAGGGGTTTAGGGATTAGGGTTTAGAGCTTACGGGCTTAGAGTTTAGGTTTTCCATGGGTACAGACTTTTAGGAGTACTTTACCATCCTTATGATCAGAATCCTAGTTCTTTTGGGGGGAGGTCATATTGGTTTCCCCATTTCCGGAAGCTACCGTTCTGTTTTTGAGCCATGAAGCCTAAGCCCTAGGAAAACAAACATTAAAATCCTAAAGCCCTAAATCCTGAAACCCTCAGGGCCTCAAGCCCTGAAGCCCTAAACCGGTTTAGGGTTTAGGGTTTAGGGTTTAGGGTTTAGGGTCTCTCCCAAGAAACGAATTTCAGACCCTTGGATGCGCCGTGTCGCCCTTGGTTAGGTGGACGCATCCGTCGAAGGGCTGGAGTGGAAGTACTGGGACCACCAGGCACGGATTAGAGCCCAAAGCCCTCAACCCTGAACCCTAAACCCTAAACTCTGAATCCCTACCACCCTAAACCCTAAACCGTTAGAGCTTAGGGCTCTTGAGACTTGCCACGAAGGCGTAAACCCTTGGCTAAAGGTTTTTTGGGTTCAGGGCTTAGGGTTCAGGGCTTAGGGTCTAAGGGGGCACCACAAAGCTGCAAAGCTCAAGTCAAAGCCTTCAGTGCCGGTCGACGGAGAAGACGTGCCAGGAGAGAGTGTAGGTACGAGGGGCAGAGATTCGCAGGGTTTAGGGTCTAGGGTGTAGGGTGTCTAGAAGCCATCGATTCGCGACTCCCATACCCGAACTCTTGTCGTCCTTCGGTGCAGGTGCACGACAAGATCGCATTCACCGCAGGACAGCCTCATCCGTCAACTGGAATGCCATCAGCCTGAAACCTTTAATCATGAACCCTAAACCTTAAACCCGGCCCCTAGATTAAACCCTTTACTTAGCCCTTCATCCCTTAAAACAAAAGAAGCTGAACCCTACGCTCTAAACCGATCAAGCCCAGATCCCGCACAAACCCTAACCCCTAAAACCCTAAACCCCTGAACCCCTAAACCCTAAACCCATCAACCCCTAAAGCCCTGAACCTCTAAACCCTAAACCCCTCAACCCCCAAAGCCCTGACACACAGGAGAGGAGCTGCGCAAGTTGGCCCGGAGCCACACTCTTTGCGTCACGGGGGCTGCTCTTGCAAAGATGAAGAAGGCCTGGAATGCCAAATATATGCACATATATATATATATATATATATATGTTTATGTATTTATAGGTGTGTGTGTGTACATATACATATCATATATATATATATACGTACTTGTTTATGTGATTTCTTTACAGTTGTTATGCATGCATATGAACATGCATGCATGCAGGCGTGCCCCTACCCCCTATACACCTCTGGAATTTTGCATGTTCTTCGCTAGACCGATCACGAAACTATGAATATATATATATATATATACATATATATATATACATATATATATACATATATACATATACATCCATCCATACATACATACATACATACATACATACATAAATACATACACATATACACATATACACAGAAGGCCCTGCTCTATTTTCCACAGTCGAATACCTGTTCTGTGTAGGTTCATTTGGAATCACTTACACAGGAAGCGAGTGTATCAGTTAACGCGAGCAAGGCTAGGATGGAGCAGGCACTATGTTTATCACGCTCTTCTCTTGACATAGCTCGATTGTGAATTGCGGTGATCCTTTGTTTTGGTCTGTTGTGTGTGTCGGTTCATTCGCGGTTACTTAATCTAAAGCCTGGGACGAGGCAGACATGCGATGAGGAAGTAATATAGGGGCCTTATTAATTTCCTATACTATTTTGGGGGTGCTTACTATAGTTATAGTATACTATCACCGAAAACATTGTTTTAATTATGAAGGCCCCTACATTACGCAATAACGGAACGACACACAATATGCTTCGATCATCCTCAAGAGTATTCCAACCGGACGAGTGAAAGCATGACTTCCTTTCGTAATCATCGACCAATATTGCAGTCTGTTTCGGTTTCAACTTCGAAGTTTGGATTGCGCTTCGCGTTGCCATGTTGATACATTGCAGTATACACCTCCAGGACAGAAACGAAAAGAAATGGAAACGCAGTTCGGGCTTGTTCTGTTCACTGCTTTTTGCACCCTGCAGTGGGTTTATTGGTTTTCGGAATATTCGAAGCTGTGTGCATCTTGGGGACATGGCATGGACATGCAGAAGGAAAGAAGTTCAGGTTATTACAAGTTGTTCTTTCCCTTAACCTTTGCGCTCTTCATATATTGGAGGCCTAGCGTATTCACCGTTGGCAGCAGGGGAGTGTTTCGAAGCACCAGGCGTGTCTATCCCTACCCGTCGACCCATTGGGAATAGGGGTTGACCCATGTCTCTATACGTATATGGCTATGGATATGTATCTATGTATCTATTTATGTATGTATGTAAGTATCTATGTATGTATGTATGTATGTATGTATGTATGTATGTACTTATCTGTACAAGTATGTATGGGCGTATGTAGCTACCTATGAGTGCATGTGTGTCTGTCTGTCTGTCTGTCTGTCTGTCTGTCTGTCTGTCTGTCTGCCTGTATGTAAGTCTGTCTGTCTGTATGTATGTATGTATGTATGTATGTATGTATGCATGTATACATCTACATGTGTACATGTATATATATATATATATATACGCGTTCTGCTTATGGAAATACTGTCCATATGATTTACATAAACCCTACCTCAAGCCCTAAAAGCTGAAATCCCAAAGTAGGGATGTCACGATTTCGTAGGGTCAAGCGCACATTTCGCGGTAGTCGCGTCCTCGTATCGACTAGAAGATAGACCTGTAGGGGCTTGCTCCAAGACCTCTTGTGCACATCGATTTCGTATTGACTCCCCAAACCGTAGAAGCCCGTTAGACCCCAAACACTGTAGCACCCTAAAGCCAATGATCCGAACGAATCTTCCTGTGGCTGGCAGGAGGAGGTGGCTGCTGTCGTGGAGGTGACGACCGTCTTCGCACGGGTGTCGCCGCAGCAGAAGGAGCAGGTAGTAGTGGCGCTCAATACAAAATCCCACACCGTCATGGTGGGAGATGGCACCAACGATGTTGGCGCACTCAAGCACGCACACGTTGGAATCTCCCTCATGACGACCAGCATCATTCCGCGCATACCGACGAGGTCGGATTGCCTTGAAAAGAGCCCTAAACCCTAAACCCTAAACCCTAGACCCTAAAACCTAAAACCCTAAAACCCTAAACCCTAAACCCTAAACCTCTTGAGCATTCAACGTAGGAGCCTGAAAGTTCGCCAATACAGGGCTTAGGGTTTAGGGTTTAGGGTTTAGGGTAATACTGTTCCCTATCATGGTAGGATCTTGGCGTTCTTCTGGTTGGCTCTTAGGACTAATTTTTTGGGGTTTCTATATATGAACTCTAATAAGTAGGCTCGAAGTTTAACTTTCAGGAGGGGTTCAGAAGTCAGACAAGGGATAATATACCCCAAAACCCTATTCCAGTTGTCAAGGCCCTTGCAGCATGGTAGCTCCCTAAACCCTAAACCCCAAACCCTAAACCCTAAACCCCTAAACCCTAAACCCGTTGCGCCTTGGCAGGCCGCATGCGCAGAAATCCGTCAACGAGATGCTGGCCGACAACGGTCAGGTTCCCCTGGTGCCCTGGTCGATGCTTGGGATCTTGTGTACATAAGTTTCTTACGACTTAGAGTTTAGGGTTAAGGTTTTAGGGTTTAGGTTTCAGGGTTCAGGTTTTAACTTAGGCTGGAGGTTTTAAGGTTTGGGTTCTAGGGCTGAGGCTGTTGTGGTTAGCCAGGGTTTAGGGTTTAGGTTTTCTGATGTCTAAATAGAGAGCCCATACGAAAGCTTATCCCCGTGCGTCTCGGGGTGCAGGTACGGCTTGGCGATGCCAGCATCGCCAGTCCTTTTACATACAAGGGCGATTCCATCAAATGCAGCATTCAAGTCTTGCGCAGCGGCCGTGCAACGCTCTGCTCCGTCCTCATGATGTACAAGATCCTTGGTCAGGTTTAACCACAAGTTTCCTAGTTTCCCGCCTCCTTGAGCCTTAAATCCTAAGCCCTATGTTCCTAGACTCTAAACCCTTAATGCAAAGATATGGCATGAGAAGCTTATGTGGTTAGGGACCTGGTTAAGTTTTCGGGGTTTTAAATAGGGTCTGCATTATGATTGTAAAAAGGACCCCTTAAGGAATAGCATTGGTTTTAGGGTTTAGGGTGTAGGGTTCACTATCTGGGGCCCCATAGCACCCAAGAGTCAATTTTGCACAGGATCATGGGCCTGAACAGTATCCTGTCCGCCTTTGCCATGCAACTTGGCAGAATATAGGGGCCTTAACCATTAGAATAGGGACTTTGGGGGAATATTATACTGTACTTATAAGAAGGAATTCCCGAAACCCTATTCTAATTATTGAGGCCCCTAAACCCTAAACCCTTATATAGAACCCTTTAAGGGACCCCTAAACCCTAAACCCCAAACCCTAAACCCCAAAACAGCATGTATCGGTATTTATCTGTTAGGCCCCTATGTTAGATGCGGGAGGGGGGCCCGACCCTAAGCCCTAAACTCCAAACGCTAAACGCAGTCGAAACCAAGCCTCGATAGTTCTGACGGCTTTAGGGTTTTGGGTTTAGGGTTTAGGGAGGTTTTAGGGTTTAGGGTTTAGGGAGGTTTTAGGGTTTAGGGGGTTTAGGGAGGTTTTAGGGTTTAGGGTTTAGGGAGGTTTTAGGGTTTAGGGAGGTTTTAGGGTTTAGGGTTTAGGGGGTTTAGGGAGGTTTTAGGGTTTAGGTTTTAGGGAGGTTTTAGGGTCTAGGGTTTAGGATCATAAACCCCTCCCTGCGGCCCAAAAGACCCACTTGTTGAAGGATCTATATCCAGAAGCCATAATAAGGAGCCCTAAACCCTAAACCCTAAACCCTACACCCTAAACCCTAAACCCTAAACCCTAAACCCTTTGTTTAAGAAGGCAGGTGCTTCCGGCTACCGGTAATCGCAAAACATGCCCAGACGTCCGATCTTCTGAGGACGCGGCCGACCTTCTCAGCTAGCTCCTGATACGGTTAATGATAGAAATCCTGCATTACCTTTTATAAGGAATATGGGTGGTTGTCAGAATTATGGTCCCTTTTTGGGTCCTTATTATAATACGGCACCTATTATTTATGGTACCCCAAAAGTTGACAACTGCCCATATATACTATAATTCCCATAGTTTAGGGCCTTAAAGTGCAGGATTTATATCATCAACGGTAGCGTCGTGGTTGTTTTGTTTCCTTCATTCGTTTACAAGCTTAAATCATTACCTATACCTTATCTTGGGGGGGCTCCTTATTAGGGTTGTAGTACCATATACCCCAAAACACTATGCTAATTGTCCCTGAAGCCTCAACCCTAAACTCTATTCTACTTATTAAGGCCCCTACATTGCCCCGAAGCCTTGTTTCAGGCCCTCCACTGGCTGCATGACTCCAACCTCTGGTGTAGGGTTTATAGGGTTCAAGGTTTATGGAAGTACCTCAATCGGGGCTTGTAACTATGGTTCGCCTCTTCTTAACCCGAGTCACTGAGTCCCCTGGTTGTTAAAAGGATACCTTATACAACCCTTATGGAGCCCTTATTTGCGGAAACCTTTATGATAGAGACCTGATTATAACCTCAATTTCGATGCAACCCTGGTTGCTAAGCCCCCATGGCCGCCAGAAAAGTATGCCATACAAGACCCTATGGAGCTATGATAAACCCTAAACCCTAAACCCTAAACCCTCTTTTTCACCCTACCCACGGAGTCTCCATCACCTTAACGCTGAACCCTGAACCCTAGACCCCAAAGCGTGAACCCTGAACTCGAAACCCCAAGCTCTATGAAAACCAATAGATCCCAAATACCAACAAGGTTTGGGGTTTAGGGGTTTAGGGTTTTGGGTTTTGGGGTTTAGGGTTTAGGAGTTTAGGGTTTAGGGAAGAACAAGGTCTGCATTGACCTTGGATGGAGTCAAGCTCGGTGATGGGCAAACGGCTATGGAGTCACTCTTCACGTCGATGTGTGGCTTAGCTTAAGGTTATCTGGGATCCTTAGAAGCACCCCGTTAAATGCCTACTAAATGGTTTAGGGTTTCGGGTTTAGGGTTTTGGGTCGGGCCATGGTTTTTTTTTGCCAAGGTGCGGCCA